AATAAGTGAAAAGTTTTTTTAAATTAAAAAACAGTACTTTTCTGTTATTGGGACGGGATTCAGAAATGTACATATGTAGGCAAATATATATGATGTGTGTGTGTACATGTATATGCACAGATACATACATGCATACTTGCGAATTGTCGATAAAGAAAGTACTTAAAAAACAACTGACAAAATAAATGCTTTCATTTATTTAGTCTTGGTAAACCTTGATTCAAACTTTTCTCATACCTGATGAAGTAATGAAATATTCAATAGTTGTATTTTTCTCTTAAACAATATTTACTTCCTTTTTGCATATCTAGAAACAAAAACTTAATTTACTTTATGAATAAAATGCATATTTAAATTTCAAACATAAAATTAAGTATAATTACTAAACTGAAAAATATGTTAAATTAGATTTCATTATTTGACTTTTAATTCTCTGGCCCAACAATTACCTTAAATAAATAGTAGAGTGAGAAAGAATAAAAAAAAAAAAAAAAATTCTAAAGTATACATAATTTTGTCTTAATAATAATCTGAGAATCATTTAATGAACTATGCACTAAATATTTATATTTGAAAAAGTTTGTTTTCTATTAATAAAAAAATTTAGTAAATAAAAACATTTAAAAGTGATACTGCAATCTATAGAGTAGTTAAATAATAAACACCTTCAACATATATGATTAAAGATTTTTTTTTTTTTTTTTTTTTTTTTTTAATTTTGGAATGCACATTATAGCACACTTTGTAGAATTTTCAAAATTACACTTTTCCTAAAATGTCAAATAAAATTAAATATCCTTAAAACATCATATAAGTAATAAAAATTTAAAAACTGTCAGACCTGATTTCCATTAAAAGCATCGTCCTCACCCTTTCAAGACTGTTTTTATAAGCAATCCATGCTTAAACTGCAAAACCATATTCAGAGACTAATAATCAATTGAAATTAAGAGTACAAGATAAAAATCACATCAGAATCTTTAACATAGTTATTTTTAATGCAAAATAAATACTAACTTCATTCCATTAAATTCACTATACTCAATTAATTTACTAACTTCATTCCATTAAATTCACTATACCCAATTATCTCATTACCACTAGTTTGCCCAAAATTATGTTTATCAAGTTTCTCCCTTTTCACATGTGAATTTAATTGCTAATTAATTAGCTTAATAAATTAAATTAAAAAATCAGCTCTTTCACATACATTCAAGCAATTATTTATAATCAAATGAATCAATATTTCAAATGGAAAATTCTACAGGAAACAGCTGCAAAACATTATAAAATTGAATATCTCTATCTGAGAATACTTTCTTGAATCCTGAAATTTTCTAGCTAAATCAGTACATGTGTATTTACATATGATTTTCAGGCTACATAAGCAGACAATATAATTCATTTCATTCCTTTCTAAGCAAGTTTATTTATTCGGCAATTTCATAAAATATGTACACTGTATACTGTCACTCTTATTAATCCTTAATTTCCATCTAATATGTAAATATTTAAGTTATAGAAGCTTGAAACATTTATAACAATTTTACGGCAAACAAGTAAACCTAGCTAACGAAACATAAATAGCATTTTTGTATTTAAAAATAAACAGTATCGAAAATATATGTATTTTAAATGCATATTTTCAATACACTTTTACATTTTGCATCTGGCATTGAAAATAATTTGAATTCTCTATTTAGCCTCTTATTTTCTTTAAAATTTAATTTCATGTACGTTTGAGTTATAAATTCTTATCTGGACGAAGTAATACAGCTCCATTTCGTGTTTGCTAAAGTTTAAAAAAGAATCTTTTTAAAACAAAGCATATTGGATCTTGAATCTTGAACATTAATATTCCACATTTCTCTATTAAATACATACTCAGTTTTTATTTATTTTTTAACTTGTTGTTACATTTTACACACACACACACACAAAAAAAAAAAAAAAAAAATGCATCCCTAGCTGATTTTCCAGTTTATTTATCGTAATGACAAAAAATGTTATTATACAACAATATTCTCCCATTTTTATCAATGTGCCAGTTGCATTTTAACTGAAGATACAATTAATTTAAATTCTTCAGCTGCAAAATATCAATCAAAACATACTGAGATAAAAATAACTAGCATAGAGTTATTTTAGTGTGTTAATAAATTGATATCTACATTTAATCCAATTGCATGCATAAACAGCATTACAAGTGCTTTTTTAATTTATAGAACTGCACATCATAAATTCAAAAATTATGCAATCTATTACAATTTTAATAAGCAAAAGTTCAGTAGAAATGATAAAGGACCAGGTTCTGTTTACCACTTTCCTCCATCAAAATAAACTCCCACCAAAATAATGAAGCACAAAATTCTCTATATTAGATAATCAGATGTCTACAAATCATGCCTGAAAATATACTTAGGAGTAACTAGAAAGTGCTAATAAACATTTCAGTATAAAAATTCACACTGTACTGAAAGTAACTAACGCATAATCTATCTAACAAAGGAAAAATCTTTATAAGTAAAGGAAGTAAGCGATACAGGTAAAGGAAGTAAGAGATGAATGATTACTGAATGGCTGGGTAATTCACATTTGTATATTTTATAAATAAAATTATATATTTTAGATTATATATGTCAATTCTTACCTGATCTGATATTCTTATCAGATATTTTTTTTAAATAAAGGTAAAATGCATTTCAGGATGAAGAAAAACAATGCTTTTTTATGTGGCAAAATAATTTGATGGCTACTGCATTTGTCTCTCAAAATAAAATAAGCCTTTTAATTTGAAATTAAAGCCAATTAGAGACTGATTTCTGATAACTATTTACATAACTATTTCCTAGTTTTAATTTCACTCATAAACTATTAAGAAAATAAAGTTCATTATATAGTTCATTACATGGAAAACAAACATGCATTAATATAGAGTTTTCTAAATACAAAATGCCTTTTGTATTAAAATATTGTTTTTCCTCAGTTACCTGACTTACTATATCACTCCTGTTAATTCTCTTAGAATCAATAAATGCCTATATTCTTACAATCCATTATCTTGGATTGTCAATACATATACACATTAAAATTATTTCAGGACAAATACATCTATAAATCACATTTCAAAAATACACTCACAAGCTTGTTTTTAAAATCGAATTTAACAGATACTGAGTTTCAAAATGTTAAATTTTCTACAATAAAAACTATACATAGCATCTTATATAACCAACAAGTAAGGAAAAGTACTCATCCAAAAGGTTGGTTATTCCTATTTTTGCTTCAGACATGCAAAATGCTTGGTTTTTTCCACTATTCTGGACTGGACAGGTTAGACAAGACAGCTTAGAAACCTACATTATATAGTCTTTTAATGGTATGTAATAAGTTGTGTAGTTCAATGAAATCCACAGAAAGTAATATATATATTATGAAAAATACCTTTTATAAAGTTTATAATTCGAAATGTCATAATCAGTGCTTGTAAATTTTTTTTGGGGGGGGGGGCATAATTATTACTTAAAATGTACTTATTATTTTCTGATAATCTGAATGCACTATTAATATTAATGCACCTGATACATATTTACATATCATGTAACTTATACATCATATTCATTACAAACTATATTTCAGATTAGAAATTAATGTTTTTGCAAAACTTAACTGTAAAATACGCTAGATCTCACTACAAATAAGAAACATTTCAGATATAGTAAATTTTAGCTAAAGAAAAATTTATGCAAAAATACAAAAATTAAATGGTATAAATAAATACAATTTTTGGAAAAAAAATATTTGTTCAGTAAACATTTAGGAAAATAATAAAATTATGATAGACTTAAAAAATAATACATGTAATTGAAATTAAATAAAAGAGTAAAATTACACAAAGGCTATGCAAAATAACTGAAAATATTAAATAACAGAAGTTACAAAAAGCTCTGAAAAATCAGAAGCATTTTTTCCCCTTTGAAAAATGTCTAAAAAAAGATTTCAATGTTCATTTATATACAGAAAGGTTATTTGGTGAGCCCGAGTTTTTAACCGTTCAAATGAAAATATTTTAGATGTAAATGTGATAATACATTATCATTATCTCTGCCAATTAGAAATACTGAAAACATTATAATTACATAATAACGGAATTTTCATTGTAGATTTTTAATGCATGGAATATGCTGATACAGTCAAAAGTCGTTAATCCGGACTCGTCGGGACTTCGGCGATTCCGGATTATCGATTTTTCCGGATTATAGATCATCAGTTTAAATCTCGTAAGATGGCATGCAGAAATTCTAAAATTAAAAATATGAAACCGTAATTTATGAAATAAAGAACAATTATGATCTAAAGGGTATCAAAATTTGCAAAAAGAAAAAAGCTTAATATTTATTTGTTTACTTTATTAAAACATTTCTCTTCAATGTAAGTTGTTTAAGTTTTGCTTCGTTTCATGTGATAATACTTTCTCTTTAATTCTATTAAACAGACATAATTTCTTGTTCAGTTACAAAGTTCCGCTGTTCAAGTCCTATAATTGCTGTGTCTAGAACACCGATTAATTTGTCAATCGAAATTTTTTCGTTTTCAATAACCTCTGTCACTTTTTCGCTATCGAAAGCGAATTATAATGACGAGGAACTTGTTTTTTAAATCATATCAAAGACGGAGCATATCGAGATGAAATACTACATTTGGTAAGGAATTATAGCCAAATAAAATAAAAACATCTGCGCTGAAGATAAGGATAGTGTTGACAGATCAACTTCCATTCATTACGCGCCCGCGCGGCGATCCCCGCCGAGCAGCTTGAAATTGATAAACAGATTTTGGATTTCAAAACATACTTTTCGCTTTAAGATCCTTTACATATTAACAAATATGTATCGGAAATTCTATTTGATATAATCGAAAGTTTAAGCTTACTTTTATAAAATTGCTCTTACAGTCTGCAAAAAATAATAAGCCGGATCCAATTCGAAAATTAAGGAACACGCAATCATCACATTAACTGAAATAGATAATTAGATAATTTTAGCTTATACGTCCATTTATACATAAAACGCGCACGTGAAAACGTATTTGCACTTGCGCACACTCATATGCGCAGTCCGTAAAAGGTGTTACGCGCAACGCGTAAACGCCTATGCGCATGTGTCAACGCGGCGCATGCGCAGAAAGTTTTTAGTTTTGAGGTCCGGATTATAGATCATTCCGAATTATGGGTGTCCGAATTAACGACTTTTGACTGTATATGAATTTTGAGATCTAAGGACGTTCAAATGCTGGAAGCTTGCCCAATTCAACTGCAAAAATAATTGCATAGGCCTTTTTATTATATTTTGCCCACAATATTTGTCGGAAACTTCAAATTTTTCTCCCCCTTCAAAAATTTACATTGCTTCTGATTTTTTAATCTAAAATACACACGATGTTTTATGAAATTATTATTAATAGCACTAACTGTATGAATAATTATACATCAAAACTAGAAATAACTAATCCTTCATTAATTGGCAGAGGAAAGAAGACCTAAAATAACTTTGTTGTTTTAAAAAAATCATATTATGCTTTAAGATAAAGAATTTCAGGTACATAACACAGCCCCAATTTTAGTTTTGTGATTACAAAAACATGAAAACAACATAATTTCTAGATGGTTGCTAGCATGATTTAGTTTAATCCCGAGTTACAAAAAAATTAATGATAACCTATTCCACAGCTTCTTAAAACTGAGAAAAATTACAATATTTATAAATAAACAAGGTTACTTATATATCAGATATTTTTACTGAGTGGATTTTTTCAACGTAACTGCATTTGATTTTTATTTCAAAAATGGCAAATTTTTAAACATAATTTCAAAGTTTTGGCTCTTCAATATACACAAACCTATCATATGAAAAAATGTATAATGCAATTACACAATTATTTCATTTTAGCACAGAAGCTTTCAAGATCTAATTTTTTACAAAGTAAGGCAAATCAATATATAGGAAGCAAAACACTATAAACATATATACATACACTTTGCAAATATCTAAAAAAAATTAATTCTCTCGTATCTTTCATCATTATTAACCTATAAAAACTCTGATTATTTTCACTCATATTAAGCAGCTTAACAATAATAAATATGAAAATTGTGCAATCTCTAATGACATTAGAAAATATTAATGTGAAAGATTTCATACTTCCAAAATTATAAAGTTTACTATAATTTTTAAAAAAATCACAAAAATAGAAAATGCTGCAAAAATTAAGAGAATTGCTTTACTATGGCCTAATATCTTTCAATCATTTTTGAAAATATATGTTATGTTTATTTAATTAGAGATTAAATAACTAAACTTTATTTATATTTAATCCAGTTAACCATTGGGAAAATAAAAAAATCAACACAAAACCATAAAATAAAGTGTACATAAATATAAATAAATATGCTACATTTTTATTTAAGAATTAATACCAATGATCAATTATTACAAAAAGCAGTAAAATTTGTGTGAAGATTCCAAAATCTTTTTCTGCAGGTTATACAATATCACATGAAATGATTCTCATATTAACCATTTTAATTTACATGAAAATAATAATACAAAATTATTCCTAAAAAATCTTCTCCCCTTTACTAAGTAAAAATATCTACTTGGCACAGTTAATTACCTTCTATTTTAATTTATTATGAAGTAGAAGTAGTGACAAAGAAGTACAATTTTATTTTTGACATAAATTCTTATACATCCACAGTTTTAATTCTGTAAAATACATAATTTAATATATAGTTAATAATGAAATAAATTTGTATAAAAATAAGATTTGGGTTCACATGTGACAAATTTTCTTGGGAAGTAATACATTATTATCAAGAATTATATATACGAACTTTCCAAAAGCAATTAAACCAAAAAATATTTGGTACACAAATCACACATATTGATTAATCATTAATAGAACATAAAACAAAAAATAAAACAGTTGCTCAGTTCTTGGAAAAATGCCTTTAAGCATACTAAGGCTTGCAAAATAAATTTGCAGCAGGAAAATAAAACACTCTTAATACCATGCTAATACCACGAAAAATCACATGACTGTAAAATTATATTATAAAAAGATATGTGCTGTGTATGTATGTATATAAAAGCATACATATTTAAGTAATAGTTCAGTACATATGGCAAAGAATGTAATATAAATATTGTAACTTGAAGAATTAAATATAAATAAATAAATAAATGTACAAGAATAGATACATATAAAGAAAATGCATCATTTCTCACAAAATAATAATACTATTCATATGAATTTTACATCATCAAAACAATTGTGATGCACAATTCATATCACATAATTCATAATCTATCTTTATATAACACACATACTTTCTTTCTCACTATAAAACTATTTCAGTTTTTTTAAGTTAAAATATACATGAATAATATAAAATGTAAGAGATTTATATCTTGTTCCTATTTATTAGAAATGAGTATATGGCAAAGTAAGTTTTAGCATGATTTTTAAAATATTTACACTTTGTTCAATATGAACATCACAGATTTACACAATTTTTTGTTTTGGCTTTTCATAAACTCTGTCAACAATGGCCATCAATATACTGCCTGGAATTCTTTGATGCATATTAATCATGTTCTCAATTGCCTGGGCAGTCTGTAACAGAAAACAATATGTGTGTTGCATAGAAATATAATTTATCATTATAATAAAAAAATTATTTTGCATTCACATTAAAATTAAAAACGTGCGATAAATTTCTTTTCCTGCTGTAAATACCATTTAATGAACAGTTACGAAATCATAACATTAATGTCTAAATGCATTAAAAGTAAATATATTTGTGCACATGAAAACTTTTACAGAATATTTTATAGAAAAGATATTATTTAAACAACTGTCATATAGAATTGTGGGGGGGGACGGAAATAAATTCCACTAGAAATGTTAGATGATATGCTTGCAAAGGTAGCATAAAACTGCTTTGTTAAAAAATAAAACAATCGCATATATAAAATGCATCAAAACAGTACTTTGAATGACTTGGGCAAAAGGTTAAGCAGTTTGAACTCGAGATGCTTCTGTCAGAGACAAAACGTATCGACAGATTAATTTTAACTCATTTCCTAGGCAGAAAAGTATTGATCATTATTTTATCCATAAATCCACAATTAAAATTAATATTCTTCCAGTCATCATTAAATAACGAATGCTGTATGTAAGCTACAGTTTGAAATACATTAAGACTGGACTGGATTTATAATTAAGAAAAGCATGCAAAGATTATCTAATAAAGATGAGAGACACTTCAATAAGGTCTTCTTAACTGAATTGGCTGACATTCAGTGGCTTATGGGAAAAAACCACAGATATCCCACACAAACCGCCCATTCATCTAAACAAAACAAAACCCATGAAGAAATTTAGCATTTTGTGGCTTCAGTCATCTAAGAGAAATATTTGTTTTTACAGGAGCATTTTAAGTATATATAAATATCTGCACATATAAGTATGTGTATGCAAACAAGAGTACACACATATGCTTACATATATGTATTGTAATATTCAATATGTTTTCACTGGATTATGAAAAAAACTAACAGTGGATGCATGTCTTAAAATTAAATATCAGTTCAGTATGTAAATTATAAATGACTCGCATAAGTAAAAATTTTTCCATAGTTAGTTCATCATTTAGAATCACTTTTCCCTACATTAAAAATATGCAGGGAAGGAAGAGGATTCTAAAACCAGTAGGTTTACTTACAGCGGTTTTAGAATACCATTCCTTCACAAGAGACTCAAACTTGGGTTTAACTGAAAAAGAAATTAAATGTTGCTGACTTAAGAACTAACTGCAGGCCATATGAAGATAGGATAATTTTTATCCTTATATAAACAATCTAAAACATATATAAACAACTAAACTTAACCGACAGTATGAAACACAACTGAGGAAACAAATGTTTTGATAATTCAATATACATGGTGGCTAAAATAAAATTGGCCCAGAAAGCATTTATGAGATTTACGTAGAATTGACCCTTTTTGTTAAACAGGAGAATTTCCCATATCAGAAAATGCTGGTAATGGCCACTGTTTATGTCAATGCAGCGCTATGGCCGATTAATCAAACTATGAGACACAGGTAGCAGTAATAGCATTTTCAATGTTCTGCTGTAGCTATTTTTGGTAGTCGTGTGTGCTTAATGCATGATATAATTAAAGAAAATAAGAGTAGACAATCTCTTATAACAAAAAAATATATTAAGTACTAAATTACAATTTAAATTACATTGAAGAGATCAACACAGAGCTCGGAACACAGTTCATGCTACCTTCGCGTACCGTTGTGTGACGAGAAGTCTGAGTGAGTAAAGATGTCGCTTTGCTGCTCCGATTAAGAACTGGATTTTACACGTGGCGCCATCTCATGAATAGAAGTTGAAGTATCTGTCGGAACGCCACAGTACTCCCCCCCCAAGTACCATCGGTACGTTATAAGTACTTTGGGTTAAATTTAACCTTTCTTCCAGATCTGGTAGTTTTAGGTTGCTCTTTAACGGGATGTAAGCTTTCTTCCGGGAGTGATGTTGATGAGGAAGTTGTTGGATCTTGCATTAGAAATGCTGGTTTGAGACGATCGATTCCAATCACTGATTGTTTGCCATTGCAGATGATGGTGAAATGTTTCGGTGTTCGTTTGACAACTTTGAATGGACCATCATATGAAGGTGTTAAAGTTGGCTTAATTGCATCGTTGCGCACGAATACGTGCGGAGATGTCTCAAGCGCAGGATGTACAAAATAGCTTGGCTGGTTATGCGAAGATGCTGGGGTTAGCGAGATATTGCTCATGGTCTCACGTAAACGTTGAAGGAATGTTGGAGGGTCGATAACTGGAGTAGATTCTGGGTGAAAGAATTCACCTGGCAGACGAAGGGTTGCACCATATAACATTTCAGCACAAGTGCTACCAATGTCTTCTTTGAATGCTGTGCAAAGACCAAGCAAGACTAGGGGTAAGGCTTCTGTCCAGTGTGTGCTACTGTGGCACTTCAGACCTTGTTTGAGAGCGTTCCACCATGCCATTTCCAGATGGATGGTATGGTGTTGTGCGAATATGGCGAATGCCAAGAAGAGAGGTGAGGGATGCGAACAAGTGACATTGAAATTGTCGGCCTTGGTCAGTAGTGATGGTGGTAGGCATGCCAAATCTTGAAAGCCACTGGGAGATGAATGCTCGAGCTACAGTTTCAGCGGATATATTTTCAATAGGAATGGCTTCAGGCCACCTTGTGTACCGATCAATACAAGTGAGGAGGTAAGTGTAACCATTTGAAGGAGGCAATGGGCCAACCAAGTCCAAGTGCACATGATCAAAGCGTCTTGCTGGAAGGTTAAATTGTTGAATGGGGCTGTGAGTGTGACGGGATACTTTACACCGTTGACATCTAATACATGAACGAGTCCATTCTGTGATGTCCTTGATTCATTGCTGGCCAGACAAATCTGTCTGCGATCAGCTTTTTGGTGATGCACGGATTCCAGGATGTGCCAAATTGTGCAAGGCATTAAACACTTCACGTCTAAAATTGGCAGGAATATAGGGACGGATATTCTATTGTTCTCTATGTCACAGTAAATTTTAAGCATTGGATCAATGTGCAGCGGTTGTTTGTAACTGAAGGGAGGTTTGTGGATTTGAGATTAGGTTCTTGAGTTCCTCATCATGCAATTGAGCTTTTGCAATTTCAGAGAAATCTGGGGTAGTGAGGTTGATATTGTTTACCCGAGGCACAAGGCATCAGCGACACAATTATCAGTACCAGAGACATATCTGATATCTGTACTAAACTGGGCGATGAAATAAAATCCAGATGTCGAAGCTGACGAGGAGAACATGAGTCAGAGTTTTTTCTAAAAGCGAAGGTTAATGGTCGATGATCGGTGAAAATGATGAAGTCGTGTCCTTCCAAGTTGTGCCGGAAGTATTTAACAGCACAGTACACAGCAAGTAGCTCTCCTGTCATATGTGCTGTATTTCCTTTCTGCAGTAGTAAATTTTCTGGAAAAGAATGCCATTGGGGAAAGTCCTTTAGTGGTATGGGCTTGAAGCACTGCTCCTATGGCCGTTAACAAGTCAGATGCATCTACCATTATAGAGAGCTGATCACTAGGTGAGTGATAAGAAAGTGTGGCTGCATTTGCCAGATCGTGTTTTGCATTGCACGAATGCTGCAGATGCAGATTCAGTCCAAGATAGGACAGCTCGTTGATCGTTTTTTTTTTTTTTTTTTTTTTTTTCTTGCTATTCTTCAGAAACTCATGCAGGCAGGCTTGTGTTTTTGCAGGCATTTGGCAGAAAGCGTCGGTAGAAATTTAACATTGCTAGGAAAACGCTTCAGTTCAGAGATGGTTTTTGGCTGAGGTAGGTCGTTAATTGCTTTGACTCTTTCAGGTAAAGGTTTTACTCCATTCTGGGTGATAAGACATCCAAGAAAGGAAACTGAGGGCTTGACCAAGTACACATTTGGATGGATTTAGTTTTAATCCATGCTCTTTAAGGCGAGTGAAAAATCTGACGCAGATGTTGAAAAATGTTCTTCCGCATCTGTAGATGCAACCAGGATATCATCAAAATATGGAATGCAGAAATCGAGGCCAGACAGTACTTGGTGTATGAAACTCTGAAATGTTTGGCCAGCATTGTGAAGGCCAAATGGCATATATAAGTACTCAAAGAGGCCAAATGGTGTAGTCACTGCGGTCTTGGGCACATCTTCAGCATGCACTGGGATCTGATGATATGCTCTGGCAAGATCGAGGGTAGAAAATATGTTTCTTCCATGAAAAAGATGGGTACAGTCTTGGATATGTGGGACTGGATATCTGTCAGGGACTGTGATGGCATTAAGTCGACGATAATCTCCACAAGGCCGCCAGTCACCATTAGACTTTTTAACCATGTGAAGTGGACTGGCCCATGGACTTTTAGATGGGCGAATGGTTCCCTGTGCTAGCATGAATTCAAATTCTTTGCGAGCAGCTTTTAGCATCTCTGGAGAAAGACAACGAGGCTTGGAAAATACAGGTGGACCATGTGTTTCAATGGTACAGTAATAAAGGAAAGCCCTTGAACAAAACCCAATAACATTGCAATGCTCTTATCTGCACAAGTAGGATTTAAGAGCACATTGTCACAAGTGTATGAAGTGTTTGGTGAAGAGAGGACAATCAAGAGATGCAATGCATCTCTATGATGATACACTTCTGGCTGATGAGTATGCTGCCCTGATTTGGATGGGTTTAAAATGTCAGGGAATTCTGCTAATAACCGATGAAACCGTGTGCTGCCCGATAAACACTTATGTTGGTAGGTACGTTTGATATGTGAGAAGCTTGGCCCTGTGATGTCAGCTGAGTTGTAGCATCAATTAAGCAATTATTCTTGACATCCACTAGAAGGTGGAAATGTGTCAAGAAGTCGACACCAATAATTGCTTGAGTTACATCCGCAATAATAAAAGGCCAGTTGAAAGTCCGGCGCAAGTTTAAATCAAGTGTCAATAGTTTGGTGCCGTAGGTTGCAATTTGGGTACCATTGGCTGCATACAGTACAAGTTTATTAAGTTGGTGAGCATTTGTTTTAGTTC